TTAATCTATCCAAATAAACAAACTCTCATTAAATTTATATATCTGCTTAATACTTCTTAAACAAGATATTAATAAACATTTTTTTTGTACTTAATATATCAACACATAGTTATGGGGTTTTTCTTAGAAGAAAACAACATTTTTGTTCTAATATTTAAGGTTAACTTCCTTGGGTTGAGATTATTATTGTTTTTTTTCCTTTTTTTCTCTTTTTTTTCTTATTTTTTTAATATATATACATATAACTTAAAACACCATACATCTTTAACCCATGTAACGAGGTTTCAGCTAATGACTCCTAGACCAGTTGGTCTTAGGGCATTAGGTGTTGACACAGCTTTATGAGCTTAGTAACTTGAGTTGGAGATACTGATACGTAGATAGTGCAATGTTTGATTTCCTTAAGCTTTTTTCCTCAACCTATGTAACATGTGTTGGGCCAATAGCTTCCAAGTTAGTTGACTTTAGGATATTATGTGTTAAAACACCCCTTCAGGCTTAATTGCTTAAGTTAGGGAGGCTATAAAACCAAACTAATCTACATTTTTATTATCATCATTTTTTTGCTTTTTTTTCAAATTTTATACTATCCCTTTCCCTTAATTATTACTTCTAACAATGTGCAACCCACAATCATATGTTAAAGTGTGTGTGTGAAAATTAAGTTTAAAACACATCTTAAATGAGTATATAGACAGAATTAAGTGATAACAATGCGAGAGTTTATAAACCTGAATATTTCAAGATGTATTATGATAGACCTTGTTAAGAATGGTTATTAAAATGTGTCTCAAGGGTCACTTTAACAAAAAAGCTCCTTTACTTTGCCATCTTATTAACAACAATTTTACACATGTTTGATGAAATAGAAAACACAGTTAGTTAATTTTTTTCAACTACTATCTTCTTCCCCCAACCAAAATGTAGATTTAAGTTCTAATCACCTGCAATGGTGGCAAGCCTTCACAATCAGATTTGTCACTTTCAGATTCAATATCACTATTATCTATAATCATCATGATTCTCTTATTTGGACACTCTAAAGCAAAATGTAGATGTCCCTGACAACTGAAACTTTTAGCGTCACGAGTATGTTTAGGTTGAATATTAGATTTACCTTTAGCACTAGTAGGGACATCAACTTTAGCCTTTGGTGTTTCGGTTCTAAAAGGAACAAAGGACCTCGGCCGGACAGTACCCTTTCTCTTTAGATTTAATGTCCAAGTTGATAAACAACCTGAAATAAGCGCTGGCCAAACATGTCCCTACCTAAGTTGTCTCTTCATCTTTGTGGCCACGTGAACCATGTCCTCTAGCTCTGTATAGTGCTGGAGCTCAACAACATTCGCGATGTCCCGATTTAACCCATTAAGAAATCTAGCCATTGTGGCTTCTCTATCCTCAACAACTTTGGCCTGAATCAATGTTATCTCCATCTCTTTGTGATATTAACCCTGATTCATACCTTGGATGATGCGGATCAGCCTTAACACCAAGCATAATCATGCCAACAACCC